TGTATAAAATGGGAAGCTAGGTATCATAATCAACAGATATTTTAATCTTTAATTTACATCTAAACACCATATCAGTTCACATTTAAAATAATATTTTTAGGATTTACTCTTAAAGGTTTAGATCAGATGTTCTTTCATCTTTAAAGACCAATAATTCTGTGGGCAAAAAGATTCAATTGCCTGCGTTCAGCTGCTTCCTTCACTGACTGAATACTAACATGTTCAGTTAGGAAACAATGCATTTATAAAGTGAGGAGTTACACCAGCTTTATTTGAAAATACTGTATTTTCTGATCCATCACTACTTCTTCTCTTTTGCTTCTGTGATTTTTCAGTTCATCAATCTGTTGAATTGTTAGTTTGTTTGTTTTTTTACATCAGTGAAAGCTTGGAGAAGTTCTCCCACCACAGCACACATATTTTACAAAGAAACATCCAGTTGCCAGGAAACACTTCACCAAAGGCTGTGACCCCAGTGTTCATTCTGGCTTCATTTAGCTGGTATTCACTGGGACTATGCTGACATCTAGTGGTTAAACCCTCACAGAGCAGTCTGTTGGTTTGGTCTCATTTTTAGTTGGAAAAACACACATCTCACACTGGAGAACTTCACCTCTCCATTGAACCCATCCCCATGGGGAGCAGTGGGCTGCCATTGTGCAGCGCTGGGCAGGTTTTGCTCAGGGACCCAGAGTGGAGGCTGCAGGGATCGAACTTGCAACCTTCTCAGAGCACAAGCTCACTGCGCACTGCTCTGACCACTAGGCCAACACTCCCTTTGACAACTAGAAATATTGCAAATTGAATACTCTATAACCTCAGCAATAGTTTTATTTTGGGACTTGGTTATTTTTAGTATTATTATTCATCTGTTTTCTTCAGTAATGTTTAATATTTGCTATTTTTTATCACTTTATAAGCTATATCTCATCCTCAAAACTTTAGGAATAGCCACAAACATTAAATTCATTTTGAAAGCTTTTCTTTTTAGGACTTTACAACAGTTTCCAAACATTGCTGTGAAAAACATCCAAATAAGCCCCCTCAGATGCCAGGGAAGTTTATTTTGGGTGGCACAATTCAGTATAAAGATGATTCAAAGTCCTTGACATGAATTAAACAATAAAAAAGAAGAAGAAAAGGCTGAATAAAAGAAACAAGTAAAACAGTTTGACCACAACCTTAATGATACCTCAGTTAATGGTTAACCTTCAACAGCCCAAGGCAGTTATAAACAAATGGATTTTTAACTTCGACTTCAAAGAACGCATTCTCTCAGGACTTTTACAGTCTTCTTGGAGTTTGTTCCAGATAGTGGATCATAGGAACTAGATGCTGCTTCACCATGTTTGGTTCTAGTTCTTGGGGTACAGAGTAGGCTTGAACTTGAAAAAATATTGGTGTTATATCCCATATAAAAGAGGTTTCTAGAATATCCTTCTTTCATCTGCACAATATTGCAAAAGTGAGAAATATCCTGTCCAAGGGTCATGCTGAGAAACGAGTCCATGCATTTGTTACTTATAATTATATTCATCATGAAGTCCACAAACTGTAGTTAAAAGCCTTCAGCTGATCCAAAATGCTGCAGCCAGAGTTCTGATGAAAATTAAAATGATAGATTATATCTCTCCTATCCTAGCTTGTCTTTATTGGCTTCATGTTAAATCAAGGATTGACTTTAAAATCCCCCTTCTCACATGCTTCTATAGGCTTAGATTTCTGGAGGACATAGGGACCCCTTTTTCATCTTTTTGCTTCATTCAATCTCCAAGCGCTACACTCTCTCTGCTTTTTCTCATATTAGCTTTTCCTCGTCTGTTCCTGTGTGGTTGTGCAGGTCCAGGAACAACCTCGGAGGGGGCCGCCGACTGCGGCTCAGGAACAACCTCAGAGGGGGCTTGGAGCGCCCGCTGAGGGATCTTGGAGGCTTGGAGCGCCCGCTGTGGGGCCTTGGACATGAACTCTCACTGGGCTCAGGGGTATGTTTGCATGTTCTCCCTGACCATGCGTGGGTTCTTTCAGGGTACCCCGGCCTCCTCACACAGTCCAACAACATGACTGTTAGGTTAATTGACTTGTCTAAATTCTCCTTAGGTGTGAGTGTGTGCATGAATGGCTGTTTGTCTCTGTGTTGCCCTGCGATGGACTGACGACCTGTCCAGGGTGTACCCCGCCTCTCGCCCATTGACTGCTGGAGATAGGCACCAGCACCCCTCACGACCCAACCTGGGACAAGCATGTCAGATAATAGATGGATGGATGGATGAATCTGTTTAGAAGAGAAGGCAGCCTGTATATTCCACTCAGCTAAAGCTAGGTAACATGTCTGAAGAAAAAAAGTTTTGAGTTCTGGATCAGTCTGTAGGGCCCTCTTTACTTCAGCAGCTCTGGCCCGCCTCCAAGGGGGACTGATTGTGGGTAGGACATAAAGCGTTTCTCTTACGAGTCTTAAAACTTCACTTGCCTTTTCCGCTGGGTCCATCTTGGCTGGTTTCTTCTGTCAGGTTGGGTGGAGGTTTTAAGGACCGAAATGCAGAGAGGAGTAGGCACGGATGAGTTTGGATGGTTTAATGTAAGTCCAAGGGAAAACAGAGACAAAAATCCAAAATCCAAAAATACTAAAAACCAAACAAAACCAAAAAATGTCAGAAAAATACTAGAGGGAAGCAAGAGACTAGGAAGCAACTAACACATCTACAGCACACACAAGAAACCAGCACTGAATGAAGGCTCTGGTGCTCTTTTAAGCCCAGCACTATGATTATCAAGATTACTTTCACCTGTGAAAGAGATGCACAACTCTCACTAACCCACACACAGGAACCCTGACAGTACCCCCCCTTAAAGGGCGAATACCAGACGCTTTGGAGTCAAAAAACATACCCGCAAAAAAGAAAAGAAACACAAAACAACCCACCCAGGGTGGGCGGTCGGGGGCCCAGGAAGGAGGGCAGGAAACAAAACAAAACCCAGAGTCCAAAACAAAAACATCAACGACTAGAGGTGGGCAACGGTGAGGCAGTGTCTCTGGAGGCCAGTCGTGAGGCCGGAGGTGATGCAGTCTCTGGAAGCTGGCGACGACGAAGGAGGAACCTTGGTTACCGCTGACTGCGGTGCTGTGACACCATCCTGGAGAGAAATATCAACTGTACTGCTGCCATCAACACTTTTTTTTTATAGATGTTGGTAATCAGCCTATTTTTCAATGTAGTCCTGTTTCTCTGACCGTGACTGGCTGGATGTGCTCTCTTCATTTTATCTGCCTGTCTGTGTGTTTCCTGGACAGGGCTGCCTTTTACAGCTGCTTTTTGTATCTCTGCTTCTGTCTCCTTGAACCCCAGTCGGCCTCGGCAGATGGCCGCTCACACTGAGCCTGGTTCTGCTGGAGGTTTCTTCCTGTTAAAGGTTTTTTTTTCCCTCTCCACTGCAAGGATGCTTATTGTGAGGGATTGCCTTTGAGTCAATGAGTCGATGCATCCATCCATCCATTTTCAAATGCTGGTGTGCTGGTGTCTATCTCCAGCTGTCAATGGGCGAGAGGCGGGGTACATCCTGGACAGGTCGCCAGTCTATCACAGGGCAACACAGAGACAAACAGGACAACAATTCACACACACACTCACATCTAAGGAGAATTTAGAGAAGCCAATTAACCTAATAGTCATGTTTTTAGACTGTGGAAGGAAGCCAGAGTACCCACGCATGCACAGGGAGAATATGCAAACTCTGTTCAGAAAGACTCAAACACGCAACCTTTTTGCTGCAAGGCAGCAATGCTACCCACTGCCCCACTGTACAGCCCAACCAGGCTGATGTGTTTTGGATCAGCTGCAGCTGTCTGATGGACTTTTTAGGCAAACTTGTGAAGACACCGTTGCAGTAATCAATAGAACTAAAGATAAATGCATGAATAATTTTTTTCTACATCCTGCTTAGACATTAGTCCTTTAATCCTGGAAATCATAACTCCAAGATTTCAGCCATAATCAGTGGTTTCTAGCTATAGTAGCTGAAGCTGTTTGCTAACTCTGGATCTCTCCTCCTTTGGTCCGAAAACTATTACCTCAGTTTTGGTTTTATTCAGTTCGGGAAAATTATGGTTTCTTCACATATTGATCTGTTCTAAGCATCTAGTCAATGTTCTAATGGGTTCATATTCACCTGGCAATATTGTAATGTAAGCTGTGTGTCATCTGCATAGTTATGGTGACTAATCTTGTTGTTTGCTATAATCCAAGCTAAGGGAACATGTAGATACAGAGTAGGAGGGACCCCATATTAAGTTGAATACAGACAAGCATTCCCTGGAAAGCAGGTACAATCGATGAGACTGTGGGATCTTTTTTTAGTCATGGCAGAAGTCCAATGTATACCCTGTAACGCTAAAACAGGCATTTTTGCTCCTTTATTATTAGGAGCATGGTATTTAAAATAAATAGATCTTAAACATTTAAAATATTAAGGTTTAAGATCTGAGTGAGTTGCTGCAATAAAAAATCAGAACATGTCTTATTTGAAGACTATCTGGGGACTCTAAGTTGGCAAACGTCTCATGAGTTTGAAGAATAAAGGCAGTCTCAAAGATTTGGGACATCAAGCATGCAGAACTGTTTTTCATTCAAACATTTTCTTCTCACATGTAAGTGAATGTGCATAAACTGCTTTAAAACCAAACCTTGTTAAAGATATTTGTTGGCCACAGTTCTGTTTATAAAGAAAAGCATTTCTTATATCTGTTGCAGTAGTCCTTCTGTCATGGTCATGATCAGTCTCAGCTTCTGTCTGCCTTGATGTCTAACCAGTGAAAGCAGCAATGCCCCAGCTGGACAGCAGGTGTGCTCTCAGCACTGCAGCAGCAAAGCCACTGCAGTGTTCCTCTTTCTATGTGTGCCAAGGAGAGTTTGAGTGTATCAGAGCCTGCATCGGTGGATGGGAACTGCTGCTCCTGCCACTCTGCTGAAGGAGAGGGTGGGTGGAGGGGGTGTCGTTGGAAGGCTGGAGGAGAGGATGGAAAAACATAGAAAGAGGGAGGGAGAGAGCCCAGGCCCAAATAAAGCCATGGGGGCTAGAACTGGGCTGGGTCCCCCTCTGCTTTAAATACGCTGGCCGCCTGCAGGTTCGGGTTTGGTGGTTGGAGTTCAGCACCGGTGACAGCTGCTGCAGCCTTCCTCAGGAGAGTCTCAACATCAGTGTTCTGGGCATCCAGGATGCCTCGAGTGGACGCAGACCTCAAGCTGGACTTCAAGGATGTCCTGTTCAGACCCAAAAGGAGCAGCCTGAAGAGCCGCTCAGAGGTTGGTGCTGTTAGTTACAGGCAGACAGATGATGTAGAGCAGCTTTCTCAGGAGACCTTTGCTCAGCTGAGTGCTACAGGCCTCTGTGCTGGATGACACACCAGAATCTTGGTGAGCTGTCAGAAATGTAGGACCATCTAATTGTTACAAAATCTTTACTGAAGTAAAATGCAAGTAAAACTGTTTTGTTTTTAAGAACAGGAATGAACTTTATCAATAATCCTGAAAGGCTGACAGATTAGGAGCTGAGCTCATTAATTTCCACACTAATATTTTTCATCTGTTCTTCAGATTTTATCTGTCCTTTTCGTCAGCCATGAAGGGTAAAGTTATTTTCCTCTATAAATGTGATCATGGAGCAGGGAGGTGACCTTCTTAAAGGTGACAGCAAACAATGCTAGCATTTAAAAGGGAACATGTTTGCCACAACAAAAAGGGAAAAAAAGCATCCAACAAGAATAAGCAAATCAGAAGCCAGACCAGATCATTTTGATTAGATCTTTATATTAAAAAACTGGATAAACTTGTTTTGCATTCAATCCTCCATACTGGTGGAACACTCTGTTCCTGTTGTTTAACCCTACAATGTCCTCAGCTGGTGAAGCATCACCAGATCTGGCTCTAATTCTGCCCCGAGCTGCTCCCAATGGGTCAGTGTCGGTAGACTAGGAGCAGAAAGCGGCCAGAGGTGGTATCTGAGAGGTGGGAAGCAACATGAAGCACAGGACACTTCTCAGAAATGCTGTTTATAAATAGGACTGCGCGTGTGTTACAGATGAGACCAGAGCACATTCCGTATGACAAATAGATATGAGTGTACTGTAACATAAACATGGGGAACAAGATGAAGGAAAGGATGAACTCCTGGCCTATGAAGTGAGGGAATATGCTGTCTGTCACAGTAAAGAACTTGATCTGTCATCTCTACTTTATTTGCTTTTTCCATCCTAGTGGGACTTGCTTTTCTTTATAATAACAAAGCCCCCATCCATGTTATATGAGGGATTGAAAAATAGCTATAAGAGTATTGTCACACAACAAATAAGGCATTTGATTGTGGAAGAACACTGACACACTTGCCAAGTAGCAGCATCTGGAAAAAAACACATGGAGTGGCAGATCCTGGATGTAAAAGCCCATCATCATACTTTAACATTAAACAGTTCAACATGATCTCTGATAAATCTAAAAAAACAAAAAAACAAAAACGGAACAAATATTTATTGGCTTTGAATCAACATGGGTTCTCATTTTAAAGTAAACAAGTTCAAAGAAAATCTTTCGACTGATGCAACAAAAAAGTCCCTCCTTGCATCTGCAGTGGTGATGATGTCGTCTGGGCTCCACTACCCAACATCAGCCCTAAGCTATTTATGACTGTGGAGTGCATTTCATTGTATATAAAACATAGTTTATTATGTATTACAAGTCAAAATGATCTTGTTTTCCCCAGTTTAACATCACAAAACCTTGACCTACTGTAAAGACAGGAAAATGATTATAAATTTATTAATCAACGGAACCATTAATGGACGACTGAGGCGTACATAACGGGGGAATAACCACTTTTGCAATGACAAGCAACTGTCATTTATTAATTAATTAATTCCAGTAGAGGTTTGAGCCGTGTTACTTATTTTCATTCCTATGCTGGTCATCTTTCTTATTTTCTAAATAACATGTAGCATCACATCATCACAAACAATGATTGGATAGGAAATTAAATCAAAAGCAGCCATAATTAAAAACAAAATTCCTGAATGTTGATCGATCAAGTTAATTTAAAAACATCACAAAACACCAGGCTCCTTGGAGGCACCATATAAATAACTAAAGGAGCCGGACTCTTACTTTAGGCAAGAAAATTCTAAGTGCTGTACATGAAAAAAAGAAAAGTACATTGCAATTGCAAAGAAGCAATTTCAATATTTTAATAGGATAAAAGTGAATAATAAAGATAACTATATAAAAAAGGGATAGTTGGCCTGAAAACTTGATTAATATTGTTAAGAAAACAAAGACAAAGAACACTCTAAATAAATAATCTCAATTTAAAGCAGCTGAGGGAAATTAGTCCAGGTACGTGGAAGATAAGCTGCACTGGAAGCACAGAAGCATGATGAGATATTGACCAATATCGCACAGTAAGTTAGTTCCTATAGCTGGAGTAGTTTTATGTTATAAATGTCCTACCTCTGCAAAGCAATGAGAGATAATAACCGATTGGAGAGTCCTTTGTAAAATATTGTTTCATATATATGTTATATATATACTATAGCCTATGAAGAAACAAAAATTAAATAAAACTTTTCTATTACACATTGTAGGTGCATTGACATTAAAGCCAGACAGACCAGGACGTTTATAAGTCATTAATGTTTTGACAGAGTCTGCAAATGTTTTGTGATTTTTTGAATAGAGAATAATATTTTATTCAACTTTAGGTTGATCTTCAAAGGACCTTCACATTCCGCAACTCCAAGCAGACCTACACCGGTATCCCCATCATTGCAGCCAACATGGACACAACAGGAACCTTTGAGATGGCAAAGGTTCTCAGTAAAGTGAGTATTTCTCATGTGACAGAGAGTTACTAAGCGGATCTTTGGTATTGCTGGTTTCCACTTCAATTTGAGTCTTTCTGGTATTTTCCTTTCTATAGCACACCCTCTTCACAGCCATCCATAAACACTACTCTGTAGAAGACTGGAAAAGCTTTGCTGCTGACCATCCAGAATGCTTAGAGGTAACATCGCACCTGTTGTTTTTTAAATAATGAAAGTATGATCATTCACAATTTTACATTGTCTTACTAAAAACGTAAAACTTTCCACATGTTCCAACGACAAACTTTACAAAAAAAATGTTTTATTTCATACCATCGACCAAGACTAGGCACTGCATGTTAAACAGAAAATGATTTGTGTTCTGACGTTAAAAAAAAAAAAAAAAAAAAAAAACAGTAGGAAAATATATGAACTGTAACTCAGACATTTATTCTAACCTTTACTTAAGAATGGTAAGAAGAAACTACAGCCTTTTTATCTACTGGAAATCAAAGTCCAGACCTAAATCCTGCTGAGAATCTGTGGAAAGTCTTAAAATATGATGGAATAAAATAAATATTATGTATCCAAAATGACTGAACTTGTTCTGTTTGATTGGAAAAGACAAGGATTCCAGAGTCTCTCAGATTTTAGTTCATAACAAAATTAAAATCCATGCATATTTGTTAGAACATCCTGTTTTTCAAACACATAGCATGTAGCTGCCAGCTCGGGAAGTAGCAATGCAGATCTGGAGAAGCTGTGCGCCATCCTGCAGGCCGTCCCTGCTCTCAAGTACATCTGTCTAGATGTGGCCAATGGCTACTCTGAGTACTTTGTGGAGTTTGTCAAGACAGTGAGAGAAAAGTTCCCCAAACACACCATCATGGTAAGAAACTGGATAGAAGTCTGCCCCCCCTTTCACATAATATTATCAGTCTGACAGTGCTTCTTGGTTTAAGGCTGGAAACGTGGTGACAGGGGAGATGGTGGAGGAGCTCATTCTCTCTGGTGCTGATATCATCAAAGTGGGTATTGGACCAGGTGGGTTGAGATGCAATCGTTTGACTGTGCAGGATTTCAGAAGAAAATTGAACATGTTTGTCATTTTACATAGTAAGTGTTCTGCTTATACACAATAGACAAAAGAAGATAAATAATGAAGATAAATTTTAAAAACTAGTTAGTAAAACAGTAGCTTAAACCATCATATGTAGACAGCAGGATATGAGGAGCAAATTCGCTGATTCTGCACAGTAGTCATCTGTAGCAACTTAATTTGAACACATATAGACTACAGAGGGATGCCCCCCCTCTAATGCAGTATTATTGATGTCTTTTTCAGGTTCTGTGTGCACAACAAGGATCAAGACAGGTGTGGGTTATCCACAGCTGAGTGCTGTTATAGAATGTGCAGACTCAGCCCATGGACTCAAAGGACACATCATCTCGGTGAGAGCACGTTTTTTTCCTTGCATGTATGTCTGTTAAAGGGCTCACAGTTTTGTTATAATTTATCATTCAGATTGAGTTTAAAGCAGAGTAGAACTGCAAGAGGATTTGCTGCCTAGACTAAAATTTATGTAACATTTGAATTTGAATAATCACAATAAGCTCTGAACAAACTCGGACATTTCTGGTTTTAGACTTTCTTTAGGAGACAGGGGATGCTTTTTTGTGTAAATCATTATTATTTTTTTATTTGTTTGATCAATTAATTTTGCATCCTTGTTAGTAAAAGCATGAAAAATGTGTCAAAACTTTATTTGTAAATATTTATTTGATTATTCCATATTATGCACTGGAATTAAGAGACTGCAGTTATTTCTTCTGATTTCAAATGTAAATTGTCTTATTCCACTGGCAAAGTGCCTCACTTACCGGCTTAATTGAAGACAAAGAAGCACTTAAAAAATGTCTTATTTCAGATTTCATTATTAAAGCCTACACATTAGAAACATACTCACCATTGGGTAGTATAGTTTAAATTCAAATTGGGGAAATTGTGTCTAGAAGGGATATGAGATGCATTCTGCTCTGCATGTAAAAGTTTTTATGAATTTCTTATCCAAGTTGAGCAAAAAGTTCCTATTCTGATCAGAAACGTATCACCTGCAGACACTAGAGGGCAGCATTGGTCTACCAAGACAGAAAGATTATTTCTGTTGAATTCAACAAATGTATTTATGAACTATTGATTTTATAGGATGGGGGCTGCAGTTGTCCAGGAGATGTAGCAAAGGCCTTTGGTGAGTAATCATGCTTCTGTTTCTGTGTCTTTATCATTTTCTATCCTTAAAAACCACAAGCTCTGGTTTTGACTTCTGTTTCTCAGGCGCAGGAGCTGACTTTGTCATGATGGGAGGAATGCTGGCAGGTCATGACCAGTGCACGGGGGAGGTCATTGAAAAGAACGGCAAGAAGTACAAACTCTTCTATGGAATGAGCTCTGATACAGCCATGAAGAAATATGTGGGTGGAGTTGCAGAGTACAGGTGAGGGACAGGAATCATTACTTCATGATGTTTAGTGCAGGAAATCTGTCTCGCGGATATAAAAGTCAATGAGATACATTAACAAATAACTAACAGTTCATTTATATAGCAAATAAAGCACAAGCAATGTAATCATATCATCCCACAAAGAAAAAAGTTAAAAAATGTCAGTTTTTGCTTTAAATCTCATTCTATCATTAACCTATAGACCTTTTCTAGTCCCCTATAAATGGCTACAGCAGCCCAGCTGTGACTAGTCCACAAAATTCATAACAAAGATTAGGTATTTTTTGCAGGATTCAAAATGAATATATCTACCAATTGAAATGAATAATATCAAAAATATCCATTTGACCTCTGACACATGTTTTGTCATACTGAGGTAAGTATAGTAGCCAAAAATTAGACTAAAGTAAAAGCATTATTTAAAATTATTTTCTTTAGTAAAACCAGAACATAGTCATCCAAGAATAACTCAAGAGTTAAAAAAAAAACTTGGTAAAATAGATTCTCAACCACAGAGTAACTGTTGGCTCATAACAATGATTTAATGTTTAAAATTATGCAATCAGACAGAAAACTGTGAGCTAATTTATAATCAAAAGCGCAATATTTAATAGACAAAAATACATACCTGATTACAGAATCAGAAATTTGAGCAAAAGAAAAACACATTTCCATGTCAACATAACCCTACATCACTTTAGCAGGTGAGGAAAGGAGCTGATGAATAACCATCAGCTACAATTATTCCTAAAAGTAATATTCTAAAAGTTACTCAAGTAAATGTAACTGAGTAAACCCACCTCTGCTGACATCCTACAGTTGCTTCCACATTCTCTTCTTTCTTTGCTTTCAGGGCATCTGAGGGGCGGACGGTGGAGGTTCCTTACAGAGGAGATGTAGAAAACACGATCCGTGACGTCTTAGGTGGACTCCGTTCCACATGTACCTACGTAGGAGCAGCCAAACTTAAGGAGCTGAGCCGGAGAACCACCTTCATCCGAGTCACGCAACAATCCAGCCAAATGTTCACATAGGGAAGCAAAATTCCCTCCTAACCACCCATAGAACTGAAATCATGACTCCACTACTTTATTGTGCATGTCTGTGCAGTTTCAAACTGAAAGCCCATCCTGTTTGGGTGTTATGTAGTTAGGCATGTAATAAGGGAATGTGCAAAAATAATAAACCAAACCTGCTACTGGTTTAGCAGAATTAGATAAAGAACCATATGACTGAGAGCCATTTGTTTCTTTATTCAATCTCTCTGCAACTCCTAAATCTAACAGTGATGTTTTTGCATTCACACTACTAACTACTCAAACTTCAGCTGTTTTAGTATCAGCTCATTGAACATTAACTCATCAGAAAGGGATTTCTTGTTTTTAATTTCTTGAGAATAAGTAAATCAAAATGCAAGATCCAGAAAATCAAACTTTTATCTTTGGACAAATCATGTGCCAATAAACTCTATGCAGAAACCTCTGTTAACTTGCTCTGGTGTTGATTACCATTTAAAGTTGAAAAGGGGAATGTGTCCTTACACCTAAATTAATCCAGATCTAATCCCATTACTGACACAAATGTCAGTGTATGTTAGTAGAGTGGTAGAAAGTGGTGCGATGTATGATTTTCTCAACTTAGCAATTAAAAAAACTAAAGATTGTGATTTCTGTGATCATTTAGACTGCTTTTCTCTAAAACAACATCAAATTAAGAAGATAAAAGTTAAAATAGTTAAATCTAAAATCTTTTTAGAGACATCTGGAGAACACACAAAGAAAACAAAAAAAAAACAGACAGAGAATATCCTCTCAAAATTTGGATATTTGAATACAGAGCACTGTTTAAAAAGCTTCCCGAATCAGACGATGGCAAAAAAATCTATAATTTATAAATAAACACGCAGTCCCACCAAGGCATGGCACCTATAGACACCTATAGTGATAGGTTGCACGGAGCATTAATCAGAGAGGCAGCAAAAAGAATGGGGAGTCTGAAGAATGGAATGTGTTGACAGGATAACTATTAACTGTCTTCTCTACAAGCTTGGCCTTTCTGTTTAGTGAAAGCGTGAAATAATTTGCTCTGAGAAAGTCACAAAAAGTCAATTTTGCAAACAAAAACAAACCAAAAATTGCAGGGCAGAGCATTGATCTTTAAGAAGCACTCAGGTCAAATGAGACCAAATTCAGACATGCAAAAAGGTTTGCTTAGAAGAAAACACCTATCTTACCATGAAGAAGGCAAAGAAGGATGATGGATAGAGTTTGTGTAAAGATCAATTGAGTTAAATGCAGAATAATTCTGCAAGAAAAGATGTTAGAGGCTGCAAGAATTCAGATTGGGACAGAAACTTACCTCATATCTCAGGTTAAAAACTAAATTAGTCAGTCTCCTGAGTTCATCTAAGAGGAAATCTTTGCATTAGCATCAGCGTTCCCAGGACCCAGCTAAACTTTACCGTGTTCTTGGTATGGTATGTCTGTAAAATACTAATTATCTGAATATCCGGGGCATACAAACAGTCCTTATCAGAACGGTCTTAAGCTTTGATACAAGGAAGTCATATCGGAGTGAGAAGCAGCAATTTCAGGGACACTATTCAGGTCACATATGACACTGTGCCCATAAGTGACACCTTTAAAAACTCCCTCTCTGCATAATACACAAGTTTAACTTTATGAATTAAATTACTATAGTAAATAAGTGTCTTTTTTACGTCATTAATTTACTGAGTTTCTGCAGATTCATCCCAGCGCCTGGGGATTGCACTGTGCCCATGTGTGATTTTAATTTATCTCATCTATAAGGGGAAGAAAATGAGAGATGAAATTGTAGATTTATCAAATTTCAGTTTGGTTTTATGTTAAACATAAACTAATAATTTCAATAAAAGAATAGAAATGTGATTCAATCCATCATACACTAGAGGGAGTCGATCGCAAGCAAATGAGTGTCCTGGTCCGGTGCTAATATAAGTACAGCGTTCTGACCATTAGTGTGTTTGTTTAAAATCAAGACACAAGTTTTCATTTTAGTCCAGATATGTCAAGGTTTGATTTTCCTTTTCAAAGAGGTGCATTTATACAGATGTCAAATACATACACCAACAGGGCTTTTTTCTCCATTTGCTAGAGGATAAAGGTGGTGACACACTTAGACTTGAGTGAGTACAATATAGTACAAACAAGTTGGCTGGGATGTTCTGCGGTCCATCGAAGGACAGACGGTCTGTGACAGACTGCACTGATGTAGGAGTCTCTGCCCTCATCTCGTTGACTTGTATAAAGTCTGAATTTAGTACTTGTAGCAGGTTAGTGGAGAGATACCCAGACAGACTGGTGGCAGAGTTCAGTATCCGCAGACAGATGACCTCCGTTCCCTCCATGGCAGTGGGCAGGGTCAGAGGCAAACAGTTTTAAGAGTTTGTCACCGTGCAGAGATGCTTAGTACACTGAAGAGGGATCCAAGGCATCTCCAGCATATGACACACAATATCAGAGTAATAATTTATACTTTACTTTCTGTTATGACATTTTTTTAATCATCAAAAATCAATCGAAATATCAAATTCTATGTGATATAAATGTACATATAAGAGCCCACTGTGTAAATTGATTGGGGTGAATCTTAACTATTAAGTAGGCTTTTACATATTTTTTTAATTTTTTTTATATCTTTCTGCCTGAGTTGGTTATCCAGCGCTAAGGACATACAAAAATAGAGAACACAAATAACAAGGAAAAAGAGGAATCCTGATAAAGTTCTATTAACTTTTAAAACTTAAACTTTCAAACACAAAAAAGTGCCAAAATGTTTTGTTTTCCTTGCAAAATGAAGATACAGACATCAAGAAACAATGGAGCACGCATTCCTTTTTTCTGATAAAAAAAAAAAAAAAAAAAGCTCACACACCAACATTCATTTTGTTTGTCAAGTTGTGCAAGAAGCCAATAAAAAAAAATAGACATAAACAGTGTTCCTCGACTGAGGAAGCTTGTCATAAGAACAAACAATGACACATTCTCTATTTAGCTTTTCAAGTCCCCTGACATTATACTGAGTGCTACAAGGAGACCAGAAATGGAACAAAAAAAAAAAAAAAAGCTCCTGCACCAAAAGATAATGCAAACAAAGCAAAGGTTTGAACACAGCGCTTTCATACCGAACGACCAAAACTGAGCTGTCAAACACCTCTGCCAAATTAGAGCTCAAAAAGATGGGAGCATAATGAAAGCAAAAATAATGACCTAGCTTGGAGGCTGTGGGGTGGGGAAAGATTTCAGTTCTTCACACAGAAAAACTAAGTTTTTTTTAAAAATGAAAAATAAATCACTTATCGCCTCGGCCCGTTGGACCCAGGAACGTGCCGGACGGAAAGTGAGGATGAGACAGACAAAAGGTTACGGCGAAAAGAAGCCGATGTGCAAAAAACTTGAGCAATCTCTCTGTTTCCATCAGTAATCACCCTCCTTCTTCTTTCTTTCTTTTTTTTCTACTCATTACCATTCTTCGTGTGTTTTGAATGAATATTTTCCCTGGGACGGGCAGCGGTCTGAGACAGAGGGGTTAGACTGAGCCTATCCCAGGATTAGAAAGTGCTGAAACATTATCAAGTTTTTTTCTTTGTACAACTACTTACACATACATCTCTGTTGCTTTGTTGATGTTTTTTTTTAAGTTTTCTTTTTTTCAGCTTTCTACAAAACAATGGTCCCCAACAATCAGAGAGATTTTTTTAATCTGTAGATCTCACCATGAACCAGTGATTTTCAGGGTTTATGATCTCACAAACACTTAAAGAACACACCCACACACTCACTAACACACACACACACGTCTTTAAACTACATGTAGGACGCATGATAAAACACATACTCAAAAAAAGAGGAAGGCCACAAAGTTGAGTTAAAAAAAGAGTAACTGAAAACCTCTAAAAGATTATGGATTTTTTTCTTGATTGATAAAATAGCCTCCTTATCAACGCAGAAGGGAAAGAAACCAAAAGCTTGGAGTCAGACGGCACTACATAAACTTGGCACAGTTAAAGAGGGGAAATCAAACTGTAAATATTGCACATTTAGGGTACATTTAAATTGGACTAAAACTAGGTGAACTTAGAATCAATTATATAATAGCAAAAAACAAAATCTTTGAAACTCCCAAAATTAACATTTACAACTGAACTCCATGTCAAAATAAAACTAAAGGGAAGGCTCAGATTTTTTGAAGTGGGGTTTTCTACGATAGATAGAAGCAGCCAGTGTCTTACCTGTACTATATAATCTTGTGAAGAATTACATCTTGGATATCAAGAAAGACGTTTGCCATACACCCAAAGTCTAATATTTATAGTGTTTTTTTCAAGACTTAAACACCAGAAAATAAAAGGAGTTTGATCGACCTATTTAGACAATCTTTTCAGCGATAAAATACATCAAGTCAAGCTCCAAAGAAATTATTTTTCAATAACTGAGCTGCAGTGTTATTTTTAGTTACTCAACAACAATTAAAGGCCATATGAATAGGGTTCTGACAACACAACCTTCCTTCTGTTTCACTGCCATAAGTTAACATGCTGCATTTGGCAAATAACACCTACATCACACTTTCTATACATTTTACACTATAAAAAATATGTTTACCAGCTAATATATGCTACCAGATATAAAAAAAATAACAAAAAAAATCTCTACTGACCCAGTAAACAACAAAAATGTTATTTCTTCACATGCAGCACTGTTCAGACAAACTGCACTGATGAAGGTTTATTTATCTCTGGATGCTGGGAGTAAATTAAATTAAAACAAAAGGCCTGACCTACTTTATGATTAATTTAACAATTCATTATCTGACAGTTTGGGGACATTTACAGAGTCCTGAAATCTTAATGGCCAATTCACATTAACACCTTAGTTATCAGGGGAAAAGGACAGTGATATCAGCATAAAGGTAAGATCAGCTATTCTGAAACAGTTGAACTAAAACTAAAAGTGCATCAAAACAGTTCTAAGATCATTAAAAAGATTTAAGTGGCTTCATAAAAGAGTTGTAAATCAGTTTAGATCAGAGTGAAAGATTAGTTTAAGAAGATATTGGCAGCTTTATTATTAAAGCTATTTGTCCTAGTTTGCAGCTAAAAAGGGCAATTAATGTAAACACTATTTTATAATCAACCTTAAATCTCTTGTTATTTACTGCTTGATGGTTATTCACACTAAAATGTGTTAATCTTTGCTCATAATGTTCAACTTAAAAGTTTTAAGTGCATCCTGCAAGAAAAGGTTAAGTATTCAGTGTTAAAACCACTAACACTCAACACCTTGTAGGATGTTTTGGTTAAGAAACATCTTTAGTATAGAACCACAGACAAATATGTGATCACTGTGAAGACCAAAGAAGATCTATATATATAGATGCATCTGTCTATATATGGCTAACCGGTTTATAATAATCAGCTCATTTAAAAATCGTTAGCAAACTTAGTTTATTCAAGGCTTGAAAGTTCTAGTGAAGACACTGACTGCTCGAACGCTCTCCTGAGAACCCCCTTTCAAGAAATCCCCTTAATGGCTGCTATTAACACACATTTAGACAGAATCACGCTGAAAGGTAGCTATCGGTTGTCATGTGGTTTAACGATTGCTTTGCTTCAAGAAGAAGTGCTTGGGAGGTTGGCTGGCTGTGATTGGGTACCTGAAACAAAGTTAAGAGGTTACTATGTAGCCGTGGCAACGAGGCAGAGCTGGGCAGACACAATGCACTAGTCGCTTCAGGTGCATGTGACACATGCTAACCTTCAGCTTTAGCATCACATTAATGACTGACCAGTACGAAAAAGAAGAGGTTTTGGGGGTTGGATTCAACTACTGCATGAATAGAAGTTTTCCCTGATAACTAATAACTAATAATACATCCTAAAGTTCAAGATATTACAATAGAATTCATGATGAGGGGGAATAGGGGAATTGAAATAAGATGTATTTATACTATTGTTTCTTTCAAAATAAAAAAATTACATTTGTTTAGATTGCAATGCCGGATGAATATTATTAATGAATGATTATTGCAGAAATAGTTCCAGTCATGTAAAAAGGAGTGCCTCAATATTGTTTTTTGTTTTTTTTATTATATTATTATTGCTTTTCTAAAACCAACCAACAGCAGGATAATGAGGCTTTGGTATACATTTTTTTCAGTATTTACCTGTTTTGAATATAGAAGTTTGAATGTTCGGAGCAGGTTTAAGTTTGTCTTTATGTTGAGGCTCTCCTGAATCTTTAGTAGGTAGGAGGGGTTAGACAAAACCGAAAACATACATTTTTACAAAAACACACACTCAAGGACACGTCTTTTTACTTCTTTTGAAAAAAAAAAGCTTTTTACAGGAGAGGATAGAAATAAAAGAGCACTACTATGGTGATTTTGATCTGAAAACCCTGTTTTATTATAAAAAAATAAAGCATTTTCAAATCTCATTCTTCTCTTTAACTCCCCTTCCAATTGGTGTTGTTGACTGATCCACCCATCTGAACACACATCCATCCTGCCATTAACCCAGATAACACTCACCACATGAACAAATCACTGCTCCTTAGATTAGTTATGATCTTTAACCTGTGGGATGCACTTCAAAAAGCCATGACTTAGAAATGGGCTATGGAAGCGTAAAAACAACCGCTGACCAGAAGCCGCTAAGCCTAACAGATATGCTTGAAGAAGAATTCATTTTGAATACGTTAACCTCATGGTGAAACATCCTCTGGTCCCTGCCATGACAGATGAAGACCAATCTATGGTTTCTGGGACCTGTTTTTGAATGTCCCTGGATTGCAGTAATATAGAAGAATATAAGCTAATTCTTAGCACTTGCCATTTTTTCCCCTTGTGTTTAGCAGTGTATGGGTACCACATCTAATGTAAATATTTTCCAACAATCTAGACACATTTTTTTTTATAAATCCGAGAGGAATCTGCACCTCAACCAGCAATTTGAGCCTTTCAATGGAGTCTTCCATCACCTTATCAACATAAAAATTTGACTAGGTGTCTTTTTTGCCAGGAATAAAATATTTTAACTGAAGGTTTCCTTTGGGGTCTCAAAAACTAATGTATAATTTGGAAGTGTGTGTTCTATTCTGCATACCTGCATGGTTGCTGAACAAATATATTTGGCATGGTCAATTGTGCCATATGCATAAAAATAAATCATTTAAAATATATCTATCTAGTCATGCTGAGGTTGTAGCTTTACAGCAGCATAAGGCCAGTATGATTTCATTAATTTCTAATAAGCAAACAATGGTGGAAATACTGTATGAATCAGGTTTGGTAAGCTCAAATAATTTGGGGAACTGCTCCATAGTATAGGCTGCGTGAGGTTGTTCAACCTTTGACATCATTGTTCTAAAGATTTGACCGTTTTTTCCACCAGGTAAGGACAGCTGCGAAGGTTACCACCCTATCTTAGTGATAATGGCTGTCAGCTGTTTGAGCTGCTCCATCTCAGTCACTCTAACCTCAACTGAAGGCAAAGAGTTTCCTTGAGAAGCACCAGAAATTATTCATCTTAGAATAAGTTCAGTAGGCAGGCACATCTAAATTCGGCTCTGTGTTTGAATAACTTAACGTAATTTGACATGAAATGAGCTGATGTAGAAGCATTTGCTCTAAAAGTGCCTGTTGTGGAACAGAAAAAAAACAACAACAACCCTGGTTTCCTCCAGTGTCTTATATGTGGTCTAGAGTTTGTTTCAGGACAGGGCCGCTGCAAGATCATGTCTCCATCGTTCTCTCTCCTGATGTGCAAATTGCAAGATTCTCGTAAGTAAAGACTCCAAGTAGAAACACTGGACATTAAGCATTTCCTAAATATATATCGAATAATTACCTCTTTCCTATGCACTATACACTCACAAACACACACGCTCCTAAAATCTCATCCATACAAAACACCCCACAAAGCACTTTCAGTGTGACAGTACTGCTAGCAGTGTGCACCAGTCCAACGCCAGTCCACCGCTGTCTGCATTTGATGCATCGTGCACCAAATATGCTTGCACCTGCTCGAACCTAAAAGTGTATTGACAAATACAGTACATATCAAAGGTCACTGATTTAACGAATGGTCTGTATGTCATTTTGTGTGTGTGTTTGCGTGTTTGGACACCTACAGACCAGCATCATACACGCACATTATGTTACAAACACATGATGACCTTCAAAATGATGTGTTGTGAGTTTCTAAGCTCTCAGTTTAGCACAGAACATCTCTGGGATGTTTCAAAGTCTCCATTCATCTTTATGCCACAGCCCAAACTATGAAATCACATTCTAATACTTGTCTACTATTGTTTACAGTGCCTTGCAAAACAATCAAAACCTTTTCCTCACATTTTGTCACATTACAGCCACACACTTTGATTTATTCAAGTCATAGACCAACACAAATAAGCGTATCACTGGAAAGTGGTGTTCGTTTGTATTCCACGCCTTTTTTTTGTGTTACTTAAATAAAAAGATGTTAACCAGCTCGTAATTTAGGTCAAATTTACTGCTTTACTCAATCGTAGGGAATACAGAAGGTGCTACATACATAAAGTGAGAATGCAGAACTTTGTGTTGGTCCACCACATAAAATCCCATTTAAATATATTGAAGTTTGTGATTGTGATGAGACAAAATGTCTCACAAAGCACTCTGAATGACTACTTTTGGAATTAATTTCCCCAACTCAACTCGGAATCCATGTCTGACCTTGCATTTCTTCCAAACCTGTCACATTTATTCACTGCTTTGTAATTCCATGGCACATCTGCTCCCTGTCACTTTTCCAAACGCCACTCTTCTCCAAAGTGCTGCTGCTACTTTCTACTTTTCTCCAAATAATAAAAAAAATATATCTAAAAACATGCAGTACTGTGTGAATAAAGATACAACTAAAGTCTGTTGGCTGTAGGGTGAGTGTGAAAGGTGTTTAAATCGATGTGAAACGTCCTGACCCTCTCAGAGCTCACATGCAAAATTCTCTTTGTTCCACTCACGCAGCTCTTCTAGACAGACACAAATACAGAGCAATTTTATCAAATACAATTAGGATTGTACACAATCATCTTTTTCTTAAAGCAATGCTCACCAAAACAGTGTGTTTTGCACTTGTATGTATCAGGTTAGGGTGTCCCACATGTATACACCCAACAATGACCTGACTAGGGTTCAATCGAGGAATAAATGACCCCTGATTTAGTTTTTCTGACAATCATTTAAAGCAACTATCTGGTGAGATAAAAGATGAGAGGTTAAAGTAATTAAAACATCAAGACGAAAATGCTACAAATAAAAGTAAAGAATCTGCCGTCAATAAAGTAAGCAGAGTAAGTGTTGTTCCCTCTCTACAATGTGGCACACTGGCTCTACTCCATGACTCCTGCTTGGTTTGCGTGCTCTAAAAAAAACATAAATGGGGTTAAATTGTACCAAATTACAATTTACATTAGTATAATTTAAGGATTACATTCAGGATTCAGTTGCAAATCCTTCATATGTAAAATCGGCTTTTGTTTTACCGCTAACTTGGAAAATGCGTAGGGAATGACATCGCTTTTAACAAAACCAAGAAAACCTGCATCACTTTGAAATTTTCATAGTGTAATGCATCAGTGGCTGGGTGGAGCCATCGAGCACAGCGCCAGTGCACCACAGAGCCACCAATGACAAAGTTTTCACTCTTCACCAATCCCTCAGCATACATCCTCTCATGAAATATCATCAGAAACGGCACCAATTGCTCACGTGATAATATGTAAGGTGATACGCCGTAGGGTACAGTTACCTCTACAGTACAGTATTCAAGATAGAAAAAAAAAATAACATAAACAAGACAAATGAAACATTGATGTGGGTGTTCCTTTTTTTCTCTAGAATCTTTTTTTCTTTTTGTTTATTTTGTAATCCCAAGTGTTTTAACAGTCCTGCTCTCTTTTCACTTCCCAATATTTGACCTTCCCTCAATGCTGACTTTTAACTCGTGAGGAATGAAGGAAGGTTTGGGCAAGGTCAAAGGGGGCTCCTCCTCTGATTTTTCTACTTTTCGACCTTCAGGTGCAGACCACCTTCGCTTCCTGCTCCCTGGCGGCTTACTGGAGCTGATGTCTTTGTTTCCGGCAACCTGAGCTCTTTCCACAAACGTAAGATCTCCGTTTTCTACTCTGCTGTCCTCTCCACTCCCATTCCTGCTTTCAGTGCTTCCCTGCTGGCGGATCCCGTTCTCGCGTTCTCTGGGCCTGGGATTTCCCACACTGCAGCTCTGGGATGCTTCTGAGATGGCTCTGGCGGTTTTAGCGTGGCTGGAGTGAGCGACTGAAGCGTTGTTGCCTCGTTCTGGAGATTGCGTCTTCTTCAGAGATCCATTCTTCATGTTCTTGAGAGTAAGTGAGATACAAACATCACCTACAGAAAGCTTTGTACAAGGCAGCTCCAGAAGCTGAGTGGTCCGGTCTGGACAACATGATGACCATCCTTGGCCAAACACGAAGAAGGGATACTCAAGCAACACCTCCACACTGACCTGCAGAGAAGGGCATAGGGGAAAAATTAAAACACCAGCAACTTAAATAAATACCACTTTAAACATGTGCCAAGCAATAAAGGAAAACGTCATGAGTAATCTGAGCGTATTTATGTCATAACATGCTACCAACAGAAACCATGCAATAACATAATGGTGCTTTAATAGTAACAACTTTAAAACGGAAAATAGAAGGTACATTTCATAAGCTAAAGATAGGAAGATCATGATCTAAAAAGTTATACATATTACACTTAGGTGTGATTTTGATCTTATATGTGACTCACAGATCAAGGGAAGAGGTGTTGACTGCTGCATCAGCAGGTATCCATTTAACCGGTTTGTGTGCAGCAAGTTCACATTAAAAGACGCACACAGTGAGGTACATCCGGTGTAGGAAGGGCTCTTGTTTGGCAAAATTGTAAACATCTGACACTGTTTATAACGGCTCTGAATGCAGATATCTACCATGGGCGAGGCATAAAAAAATTATTTTAAAAAAACTACTTCGGGGAGAACTATTTTTCTAGAAGAAAAAAAAGAGAAGGCAGTCTAGCACCACCTAGTGTCCATCTGTGCACCTTACTATTAGTGAGCATATAAACCACTTAAATGGAACAGTTGAAAGCACTATGAAACACAAGTGTGTGGGTTCTAACCAGAGAATAAAAGGTGATCAAATTTTAAAGGATTTGTGGAAACAGATGAAGTAAGAAATTTAAAGATTAAAAGGTTAGTTTATACTAAGGTGTGCAGAACAGTAATATATTTGGACTTATGCATTTTTACTATTTTTTTCCTCCCAATTGAACTTAATGTAGTATAGCATAAAAATGGCATAATGCTCTTAATAAAACAGAAGAAGGGAAGAAGCTGAGTCTTTGAAAGATGGTCAGTTTTTGTGAGGTGCAGCATCAAAGAGGAGCTGCAGGCAGTAAAGATGGGTTCTGATGTGTGATGTGGGCAGAGGTGCCATTGCAGAGATCAAATTACTTTAATGCACACTCTGAATGTAAGCAGCAGGCATTTGTACTTATATGTGTGAATATGTGTGTGCGTGGTGTGTGATAGAGAGAGAAAGAAGGAAAAAAATGAAAAAAACAAACAGGAAAATAAGTCCTTCAAGATTTCTGAAAAATCTTAGTAACGTGAGACAGGAAAAAATCAGGAGAGAAAAAAATACCTTAGATTATTAAAATACATGTTTAAATAAAAAACAGGGTTTCTTCTGCAGAAATTAAAGAAGAGAGCAAAATAAGTATTAACTTTGTCTTCAATTTGATCCAGTTCAAATGATTGATTAAATTTTCCATTTTAAGTTGACAAGATTGGCAGCCAATATGTTTTTCTGATGCTGTAACCCTTCTACTAGATATGTTTTTTTTCCTCCTCCTTTCAGACAATATTCCTTTCCCTTGCTCCATTTAAACAATAAAAATGATACAATTATAATAAATGTTACACAAGTTATTTCAAACCAAGAGAATATGGATAGCAAAGGAAACATACAGCAATGCATACTCCTTGATGATGATGTCAAGGCATGGCTGCTAAATTCACTAATAAATTGGTCTATGTCTATATTTTACCACCAAACTCAATGTGTTGGGTGATCAGATGTGGTATCCTGCATATATTAGTTGTGTCAAGTTTTTATTAGAACTACCTTTGCCTTTTGTCTTGGTCTACTTCTGTCCATTTAATGTCTGGCATCTGATTCCTTGTGGAAATCCCAACAGATCGACAATTTCTAGACAGTCTGACCCACATTAACAATGTTAAGCTCAAAGTAATTAATCTTTTTTTTTTTTTTCAATTCAAGCTTTTTCCACAAATATTAGCTACTGTAGCTGTGTGATCAAACATCTCCATTGTTCTTAGGATGTCTTCAAAGGTTAGATGAAGTAGAAACCAGAACTATGACAGAGATACAGAAAGGAGTTTGAAGAAATTAGCCGACTAAAACGTCCCTGGTGAGTTTGAAGCAAGACAAATTGGTCCAAGAGAACTAAAGCAGTGAGAATGGCAAAGGAATTACAAGATTGGAAGACTAAATGTAGACAGATGAAGATATTATTTGCAAGCCAAGAATTAATACCAAAACACTCAATGGCAAATGAGAAAAGTCTGAAAAAAAAAAAAGGATGCAACCCGCCTCATCAAACTAGTTTTTCTCTACATTCCAAAATGATAAATATAGTAGAAAAAAGTCTATTCTAAAAAGAAATTGTGAAAATAAGGTTTTTACACCCAGAGCTTTGAAAGTCTTTGCACAGACAGCCTGCTTGGAGTTGGTTACCAGTGCGACTTTTATTTAGAATGGAGACAATTATTATGACAGTAGCATTACAGGAATCCTGCGTCAAGGCAGCAAACTATGTGAGACACCTTTGCACATCATAAATACTTGCAACGCTGTGTAATGAAAACCCTATCATATATCTGATCAACCAACGGTTGTGGCTGTCAAGGGGATTGCTCAGGGTGTTAAATATCTAACCTGTCAATCAGGGCCTTCTAAAAAATATTGCCTCACAGTGGGGTAGTTGGATCTTGAAGTGGAGCAGAGATGCATGCTTCCTTGGTGCCTCTCTTGTGCTGGACAATCCAAACCAGCTAATATTCCATGCATCATCATCCACCAGCATGATCTCACCCCCCCCGCCACACATTCTTCCATTGTGGATGTCCTCCAAGCAGTGCAAACGCAGCCATCCTTACACAATTACGCACTCCTGACACAGCTATTTATAGACATACGGTACAGTTTTCTACACCTTGTCTGCCTGATTAATCATCACATCTGATTTGTTTGGAATTAATCTGTTTATTTTTTTTTTTACTTTTAACATTTTTTTCTGTGAGAACGAAAGTGTCCCTTTGAGCAAAAATAAAAAACAAACAAAAAAAACATGGGTTTTATGCTCAACTGTCCACAGACCAATGCACCATTTTCATGAGCTAAACAGAAGAATATTTACAGCTTAAATGAACAAAGACTGTTTCTATATTTTTCAAATGAAAGCTACGGTGTTTTCTAAAATTGGCTATACTATACTATACTTTACTGTACTGTACTATACTATAACATACTGTACAATACTATACAGTACTATACTATACTGTACTGTACTATACTGTACAATACTATACTCTACTTTACTATAATATACTGTACTATACTGTACTGTACTAGTCTGTACTGTACTGTACTTTACTGCACTATACTATACCATACTGTACAATACTATACTGTACTATACTGAACAATCCTATACTGTACTGTACAGTACTATACCATACTGTACAATACTATACTGAACTATACTATACTTTACTATACTGTACTACACTATACTATACTGTACTATAGTATACTGTACTATACTATACTGTACTGTACTGAAATATACTATACTGTACTGTACTATACTGTACTGTACTATACTGTACTGTACTATACTATGCTGTACTATACTGTACTATATTATACTATACTATACTATGCTACACTGCATTAGGCTAGACTAAACACTATACCAAGAGCAAAGCATCGAAATGAGCTGCCAAAACATGAATGAATGCATTTGTCTTTTTTGTGTTTGCATGTTTTGGACTTTGCATCATATGTGTGTTTGCAAATCAGTTTGCCATTTGTTGCACAATTTCACCTGCTTGCACCTGTTTTTATAGGCTCTTTCGCGGTTTTTTGCAGCATTTTTCTTTTGCATTTGTTTTTTGGGCTTGAGTGTTTGGGAAATAGCATCGTTTTCGTGGTTTGCACCTGTCGTCCACTGTATGTACCACTTTCATAGTTTCTACCAATCTTCTTCGTGAGGGCAGCTTATTTAATCTCAGTGTTCTCTATGCTCATTTCAACTTATCTTATGCTTATTTGATCATGCATACAAGATCTGACTTGCCTCTGATGATTTTTTTTACCCTTTTGTGGTGATGATTTTAATTTAATCTATAAATAAGCCTTTTCATAACATTAGCAGAAAAAAGCTCTTTTTCAGTTTGCATTATTCCAACATATTAGTTGTTTACTTAACCAAGCTTGCAGTTTTTGCCTAATTTATTGAGATTACAGTATATATAGTTGCATGAGAATACTGTAATAATGAAAGGTCTTTAATTTCCGCTTTACACAAACCCCATATTTTTGGATATATTGCACTGGGGTAAAATTTTCTTTATTTTTTGCTTCAGTAAATGAGTCTCTGAGAAATACTCATCCAGTCTGCTGGAGTCCAACCACAACAGTTGTGCTTTGAAGTGTTATAATACAGAAAGATCAACATTGCAGCTGCAGGGGTAACAGCTTTGTTTAGATTTTTTTCTTTTGCCTCAAACTGAGAAAAAAAAATTGGTCAAAAATAACAGCCTAATTATTTCAATAAATGGAAAACCTTCAAGTTTTTTTTGTGACTATAATTTTACAAGGAATACTTCAATATTTTGGACTAAGCGTGAAACTTTGATCCTCCATTACAGAGAGAACAGTATGCTTGCCTGCTTCACTCAATAATTTAAGAAGCTGACAAGTAGATTTCAATTCAACTCTTTGAACTCCTGTAAAGCTCATAATAAGAACGTGTTTGTAACAAGACTGTCAACCTGGCACAGAGACGTTAATTATAGGGGGAACAGCCGAATCCTGAGATTCATGGTAATAAAGTAATTAAGATGGGAGCAGCTCAACACTTGTCATTCAACATAATCGTACCACATTTGAATAAATATAAATTCTATTAGAGGTGTCCACATTTTTGCAGGTGATAGATGTTTTATAAAACAGGATATCTTAATAAATCATCTAATGCAGCCAATAATAGTTCTAGACGAGACTTCATTCAAATAAGTTAGGTTGACACAAGGATTTTGCATCCTTGTGTCAAAATCACTGTTGATTACCTATTTATTTTGTTTAAATACTAGAAGCAGAAGGAAACAGCCATCTGGTGGGTTAGAAAAGAGTTTCCTTTATTTTAACTGGTAGCATTGCATTTTTGGTAATTTTTAACACAGAGAACTAAAATATAAAAAGGTTTTTAGGATTCATTCTTGGCAGCACCTTCCTGGAATCTGTCCTACAGTCTTTTTGTGAGGCTAAATTAATAAACGAGAGAGATATCATTACAGATATTGTCTTATATTGTTCTTTGTTAGTGATCTGGCATGTACAGTATGTATAAATACCTTAATAGAATATTTAAATGAATTTTTCATCAACACGAATGTCAGTTTAATATTGAAATGTATTAAGATATTTGAACTGCTCTTTTTTGGGGTGGAAGGATAAGGCAACCACCCTGCATCGATACAGATTCAAAATATTTAGGAAGGATCATAATCCTGATGAACTAACTGCACATATATAATGTTTTAAGGTGCAGTTTCTCACTAAAAAGCAGGTTAAAATTTTTCTTTTGGTACTCATTAAAGCAAATAAAGTCAAGTCACTTTCTCAACTTTGAGGAAAAGAGCAGAGGAGCGGAACAGAGCATTCAGAGCTTGTTTTTGATGCTTAAAAGCATTTGTTATAAATGGACCCTTGCAGTTTCCCTTAGTTTCCTCTTATATTTGAATTGTTTGCTGTAGATAGAAAATCATAGCAATGACCAGAAATCATGTGATTCACCCCTTGCTCACACTGGCTCCGGTGCGGTTACCGAACCGACGGAGACCGCAACTACCGCACACCCCCTCTCACACCGCCCTGTTGACTAAGGTGCGGTGCGGCTCTGCGGCTCCGGCAACAGGTCCGGAGATTTAACAGAAGTTCACTTGAGTTCACGTAACTTCACGCGATAACACGGCCCAAATAAAGGATTTTTGCGAGAGCTTGTTGCGGAGGGCTCCGGCACGCCGCAAGGATAGCTTTCTTGCGGAATTTTCTGCAGCGCCGGAGTGTCTCGGTAACCGCAGCCGGACAGCTCAGCAGCTGGTGAGAGAGGTTTACGTCTTTTTAATGACTTGGAATCACTGCGGCGCCGCACCCACCGCACCGCAACGGTAAGACCGGAGTTTGTGTGAGCCTGGGGTCACTTCATGGTTGCTGATGGTGATGATTGTAATGCAAATTTGAATTAATAAAACTGTGTTTGATGTGCAAATCTATAGTTCAGGTCATTATTGTAAATAAGAATTACTTCTAAATAATAATATATTTTTTTATGTATTAAAGGTAATCAAAATGGATTCATTTCTGCCTTAAACTATAAATATTCAAAGTAATTTTCTAATTTTTGGACTTTAAATAAGGGTTATATCGATGACTCTTATGTTAACTTCTAACTGGTAGTGTATTTGTTCATGGTAAGTGGATTCATCTATATTTTTAACCACTGCAATGCTAATTAGGATGCAAAGTGATAAAATACATTTTCAGGTCTAAATATATTTTTCTCACCTGTGTACGATGTTCCCCAACGGAGAACTGAACAACAGCAAAGTTAGGTGAGGTGTGGCTGCCTTCAATGCGCTCCACTGTGGATGAATCAATCTTCAGCTCACTGCTGATCTCTGCGCTCTGGATGAAGTCCTCTGTCTTCAGGTCCTCCACGCGCTTCAGCTCGCCGTCTGCCAGTTGGATGATGGAACCCTTGATAAAATATGGTGGGAGTGAGGGAGGCCCTGCTGTACTTGAATGGGTTGGAGGAGTGGAAGCTGCAACTAGCCCTGGAGGAGCAGAGACGATGGGGAGATGGAGCTGGGCTTGAACCACTGCGCCTGGGACAGCAACATGGAAGGAGCCACTTTGGGTTTCCAGAGTTTCTCCTTTTGGGGCAGTGGCAGCGATGTATGTGTGTGGGAGTGTAGCTGGAAAAGGTGCCGCTTGGGTTGATGATGTAATGTGAGAGGTTACAGGCTCCAGTGTGGGGACGCCACCGCCACTAACTGGGATGATGACTGGTTGACTGCCTGGAATGAGCAAATGTTGCTGTAGGCCGGTGTGGTAGCTGCTCCCACTGCCCCCTGTAAGGTAACCAATTAGAGGTTGCTGTGGGTAGATGCTTGTCGAAGGGAGTCCCAATGACAGTGGCTCTGAGGTGTTGTGGGTGGTCTGAATAACAGTCTGGGGTGGCAGCGTGCTAACAGCTGCTTTCAGGCTGTCTGCACTATGTGTAGGTGGAAAAGTGAAAGAGCAGGTGCTGTTGGATGAGGAGGGCGGGCGACTGACAGGCTTACCCATGCTGCCTCGCTCCAGGTGTGCAGGGGAAGAAGCTTTCAGCTTCTCAGAGCTGCCTCTGGGTGGTACCAGCTGGTGGTCCCCATGGCTATTAGGCATTAACATGACAGAGGTTCTCAAGCCTAAGTGATCATGAGTAGAGTACTCTGATGGCAGAACCAGATGACGGGCCTCGAAGGAAGACAAGGAGGACCTCTCCTCCCTTAATTTTACTCCCAACTTCGAGAGGCCAGACTCTGATGAGTGTCCAAACCTCCTACCCCTCTCCAGCTCACCGTTGTGGAGCTCTCTGGGTCTGGTACCTTCCTCCTTTCTGCTGTACCCATCGTTATATTTGTGGGGATGAATGGACTGGGAAGGTAGATGAGTTCCTCCTTGGTGATGAGGCGAAGACACAGTCCTTGGAGATGTTGACATCTGAATATGGTGGGGATAAGGGTCCGTAGAAGGAGGAGGCATGGAGGTTCGCCCAGCGGATGCTCGATGGTCCTGTTTGGAGGCCAGCGATGGAGCAGGTAACGTCTCTGTGTATGAGTGTCTCTGTGTGGCTGAAGAGGAGTGGGGGAGGGGGAGGAGGAGGGGGGAGTATCTGAGGGGAAATATAGCTCGTATATGGAGTAGTGTAGGATGAGGCGATGAACTGCATATTGGGAGGCAGTTGTGCGTAATGGACTGTTCCTCCTATTGTGGACTGCGATAGGGGGGATGTATACACCGTGGGAAGAGATGATACTAGCCTCAAAGACGAAGAGGAGGAGGAAGAGTCTGATAAGGTGGAGGGGGATTTATACAGGGGCCCATCCGTTTTATTAGAGCTATGATGTGCACCAGTACTGCTTTCATTTCCACCAGCAACAGAGACATAGCAGGCAGAGTTCTCAGACCTGTCGCTAACAGGTGGTATAGCAGGAGAGCGACTCTCAGGTGGTAACGTGCTGGACGTGCCCCTCTTTTTGGGTGGCAGACATTCATTGCTGCGCTCCTGGTTGGACTTCATGTTCAATTTTACCTCAAGTCTCCCAACTACACTTGCTTTATCCTCTCTCTAGCTGTGCTCCAATACCCTTTTCTTTTGTTGTTTTTTTTCACTTGAACTCTGACCGTCCTGTTCACTTTCCTTAGATCTTTTTTTTTTACTTTTAATGCTTAATTCTTTTTTCAGATTATTAATCAATGTCAATTTCCATTTCACTTGAATAAAAAAAATGTTCAAAACTGACAGGTGAGGGTTTGAAAAGAAGATATGGGTGGGTAGTTAATGGGAGGAGTGGGGCGGCCTGATCTGTCCAGGAACCTTTAGTGGCTGAGGGGAGAGCCTAGTCTGGTAGGGCAGAGCGTCACAATATTATGCCTGCTGCTGCTGCAGAGGATGATGGGGGGCCGAGTGTGTTGTACTTCATGTGGAATCATTTCCCTCCAAAAGAAAGTCTTCCCACACTGAGAGGAAACCTGTGGGGCAGAGAAACACATATTTTTAAAGGTCTGAAAAGTGGAAGCGGTAAAGAGACATAAAAACTGGCAGAAGGAATACAAGGTGACACATTTTATAAAAAATCTAAAAGACTTCTTAAAATGCAGTATTGAATTGTCTTATTTGTTTTAAGAAAGAATAAAATGTAATCAATTTGCAACTAACAATTCCATTGGTAGGTATCTAAAAAGAAGAGTTTAAATATGTCTAAATGGAATATCAGCTTTTGCTTCCTGTTAATAGTTACAGAACAAAACTTATCTGAGTAGCCGTCATCTTCAGATGCAACCAGATATTTGTATCCACTGTTTGAGATTAAATCAGCCTAAATTTCCGTAATTCAGGCCACTTAAGATTACCATAATAAGATACATTTCAATAATTCTATTTACAAAGTGCAACACACCATAATTTAAGAGATGTTTTAAATAAAAAGTTAACAAGAGTATTAGATTTTATGGTATAATCCAAATCATGATTTAATGGCTTTGTGGACTTCTGACAGCTTGAGTTTATTTGTTTCAAGGCGCACACTCAAACAACTTCAAAAAATCAGCAAAGATATCAGAAGAAAAAAGATTGACCTCCTCAGTTTCTTTCCAATAAAACTTCTATAGTCTAAAGGTTCATGCAATAGTTCCACCAATCATATGAAAGCTTAAACAGTTGGGAGAGTCAAGTCATCATAGCTCTTAGGAGGGGAGCAGGTGGGTTCGATGAAAATATTTCTATAAAACCTGATAATCAAAGCATAAAACCTTGTAAAAATGCTGACTGAAACTGGCAACAGGAAGTCATTATCTACAGGTACATCTGAACTAAGATTAGCTGAAAGCCATTCAACGCAAAAGAAGCCAAAAAATCTTAAACCAGATAAGTGTTTGCACATTTACACTGGTAAAAGAACTTTATTTTGAAGACATTGCGTATGATCTAACAAAACCAAAATGAAAAGGTTTTGATATAATGACTTTTGGCAGCAAAACGGTGAAGCTTGCAATATTCAACAAGATTGTGACTGAAGTACTGGGGAGGTGGCATCATGTTGTGTGGTGGATTCGCTGCAGATCGTCTTCTGCTGCAGAAATGGGTATAAATGAACTCCCGAATGCTGAAGTAATGGCAGCAAATGCAAAAACAGAAGAACGGCTTCAACGCATGGTTGTAACTCAACTTTGATTATAAATCTTTACAGAAATGAGATTATGATTATTTCAAAATAAAGCTCAAATTGGAAGATTTTTAATTTCACAAAACAAACAGGTTTTGGCTTACCGTATTTTCACGACCATAAGGCGCACCGTACTAAAAGGCACACTCTCAGTTATGTGTCCCATTTCTGTATTTAACACACACATAAGGCGCACCGGACTATAGGGCGCATTTTTTATATACAGGTACATGTCCTCTACTACCTTTAAATAGCTCTACTGCGTATTTAAAAATACAGCGGGGGCAAAACTGAGTATGACTGTGCTTTATTCATGTATTTATTACAAAGTATTAATCAAACCTGCGAGCTGGCCATGAGACAGACGCATCGCAGATGACACAGCGCTGTGATCACTCCTAAATTAACTTAAAATCCTGAAACCTGCCGACGGAATTTGTTCGCTTTTATTACAGGTATCCTGGTGCCTGCAGTTTAAATTATTTCGATGAAAAACACCTGCCAGCCGCCGCGGTGAGGCTGCTGTTGAATGGATTTCTGCTGTCGGTGCACCGCTGGTATGTGGGGGTCTGAGCGCCTCCGACAGAAATAGATAATCTGGATGAACTGACTGCAATTATTAAGTTTTCAGGAGGCCTTTCTCACTTAAAAACATATTAAAACTACTTTATTCCCACTGATCACAGCAAATATAGCTGCAAGATTTAGATTATTTAGATGAAAAAACACCTGCCAGCCACCGCGCTGAAGAGGAGGAGACCCGCCCAGAGGCTGCTGTTGAATTAAGCTTTCAGGTAGAAAAATAGAGCGGGAGCAAAACTGAGTATGATTGTGCTTTATTCATGTATTTATGACAAAGTATTAATCAAACCCATCAAAGTCATCATCCTCTGTTTCTGAATTAAAAAGCTGCGCTAAATCAGACATGCCAATTTCCCCTTCTTGGCTGTCAGTCACTTTCCGTGCAGCGCGGCTCCTCAGAAATAATGCCGGCTTTTGCGAAAGCTTGAACAACAGAGCCAGCAGACACTTTAGTCCAAGCATCTGCAATCCATCCGCAAACGGTGGCGTAACTTGCCCGGCGCTGCCTTCCACTTATCCTGAAACTGTGGTCTCCGTCTGTCATCCATCGCTCCCACGCCGCTCGCAGCCTTACTTTGAACGGCCGCTTCACACCGATGTCGAGCGGTTGAAGTTCCTTTGTCACACACCCCGGGATAACGGTGAGCACAGCATCCATTTGATTCACCTTTTTTTTTTCACATCGGCTGTGAGATGGGCACGCAGCGATGGTGATGCGTGGAAAAAAGCACCTGGTCTCCTCACATACACCTGCCTTTCATCATCTCCTCATTCATTCAGCCTTTTTCATTTGCGTTAATATCATATGTCATCAGAGCGCTGTGTCTGTCTCGCTGTCAGCTCCCAGATCAGCTTCTCTGATTGGTTGATGCGGCGCGTCCAGCAGCAGAACTTCAATTTTTCCATCTCGAGCAGCAGCAGCGCGTTGGCGGTGCGTCAGATGCTTAAACGCTCCCGAGGCGCTGCGGCTGCAGCTCAAAACGCGCTGCGGGACCTTTTGCTGCACCTATACGCGCGTCAACCATTGACTTTGCATGTAAACTCCCTGCTTCTGCTGCACCTGCTGGGTCCGGTTCACACCGATGTTGAGTGGTTGAACAGCGAGCACAGCGTTAATTTGTTTCCCCATGTTTTTCACATCAGCTGTGAGATGGGCACGCATGGAGTTACATATTAACAGCGATGGTGATGAGTGGAAAAAAAACACCTGGTCTCCTTCCATTCAGCCACTCTTTCATCATCTCCTCAATGAGGTGGTCTCAAAAGTCGCAGTTGGAACACACATAAGGCGCACCGCACCAAAGGGCGCACCGCACATTTTGAGGGAAAAAAAAGACGTTTAAGTGCGCCTTATAGTCGTGAAAATACGGTACCTTTTTTTTTAGAATATGTTTTGAAGGAACCTTTTTGGAGGAGAGTTAAAGGTATGAAAAATAATTTTTTTCACAAACAAATAAGTGTTCAGATTAATCTAAAATGACTTTATTGATGGATGGCATTCTTGCAGGTAAAATCCATAAACTCTGGCCGTGGTGGTGCCTACAGAACATTAGCCAATCTACTTGGCCTACTGTCGAAAGTGAATTGGCTACTTGTTTGTCAATCAAACATTATGCATATGTGCCCCAAGGATGTTATTTATGTAAGCATGTAGGCTCTAAGCGTAACTCATACGCTGTTTGGCTAGCGGTCTGCCATTATGCCAAAGCACGAAGAAGTACTCCTATGCTTGTTTGCTGCTGTGCTATCTATTTTTATTTATTTTTTAACCAATTTGTTCACTCTTTTGTGTAAACTCGAGCATCAATGGCCAAAAGAATCCTGACAAACTTAGGTAGAGAAGAAAGCCGTTTTATGATGTAGTGTGTTTAGGAGATTCTTTTCAGAGGGTTGCCCTGAAGGAGCAAAGGGGTCTGAGAATGGATGCTTTGGTCAAAAAACTTCTGCTGGACAGATAAACTATGTTTGATCCTGTAGTGAGTGCTGTAGTTTTTAAATTATGAAACAAGCAGCAGTGAGAACACATCAACAAATTGTAAATATAACTTGCAGTGATAACGCCAGCAGAGACCTTTTCTTATGGAGATTTCCTGCTGACTAGGTGCATCCTGGCACTTTTGTGCCTCTCTAGGCGGAATACAAAATAACCAGTGGAGGCGTTTTCAGCGTAGGGAACTTTTGTGAAGGAGGGGGCACTGACGCATGTGCACGGTCAAAAAATACGCAAACAGCCGTTGGACATACCGTATCTCCCACCACAGAATCCTCTTCCCTGCCTTTAAGTATTCCTCACCCAGCAAACTGAGATGCATCAAGGCGCTATATTGTTTTGTTGCTCTCTTTTTTGAACCCGCCGGGCCAGAATGCAATGCGTGGCAGCCATGTATTCAAAACTCTTGACACATGTAAAAGAATAGTAGGTTGAGGTGACATAAGATGGACCTCAGGTGTTGCCGGATCCTCGTTTCATGAAAGAAGCTGAGAAGCTTCTGGTTGACATTACATTTCTCAGATTCAGAGCAAAGAATCAAATGAGAAGGAAAATTGGTGAAGCTTTGGGGTGATGGTGCCAACTTAACGAAGCAAAGGGGCTCAGCAAACGTAGCTATTTCTTTTGAAAGGGAAATTAAATGTTTGCCGATGCAAGCATCAGCATTAACGCACCTAGCAACTGACTCGCAAACAGTAAGGATCCAGAGCAGGAGAGAGGGAGAAGTGCCACTTACTGGCTGCAGGGTTAAACTTGAAGCTATCACCTTTAACCTTTTACTTATGAACAACGTCTCCTTTACTAAATTCGAACCGACATAAAACAAAGAAACTTTATGTAGATTTAAAATCAGTACGCTAAAAGCACATGTTAATTTCAGCTATCCACTGTATTTGTAATAAAAGCCATCCAGAAAAACATGCTTGCAAAATCTACTGCCTGCTAAGGTAAATGGGAACTATATTCCAAGTCTCTAACAGGCAAATAATACTCAGTGCTGTGTGTAGAAATCTGGTAACCATGTAACTTTGAATATATATCTGTGATGTGAACCATCTGTTAAATATGGCTCCCTACTGCTAAAGAAGAACAGCTTGGCGTGAGCTTATAAATAATGTACAGGAACTTCAAAAACCTACTCTTATAAATACACCCTCGCTCATACATAACCTAGCACATCACTCCAGTGCACACAAGTGGTGACATCTGGTTGTTTGCAATTATGTTCACACTCT